CACACACACACACCCACCCCTAAGTCGCACAGGCAAACAGCAGCAGCGCTTCCACAACAATTAGAATGAGCAAATGCTTTCCTCCGGCACTGCAGAGGTCTTTTGTACCTGCTGCACTTCGCAATCTTGGACTTTCTGGACCAGTATTGCTTCCTGGCCTGTTGGCAGCAGTTGCTTGTCGGTTCCAGATGTCACCGGGCTTCCCTTGGATGCTGGTGCTATTTTTGGGACAGAGATTTGTCGGAGACTGGACTCCTATAAGCCTACTGGAGACTTCTACCGACGAACTGGACCCCTACAGTGGCGATTCAACCTAAAGGCCTGCCGGTTGGGAACCCTGGGAATAATGGGACTAGGCCTGGTATTTCGGGCAGCTCAGTTGGTAAGGCACAGAAGTTGCATTCAGGAGGTCGTGGGTTCAATCCCAATTGGCCTCACGTACGTGCCTGGGCAAGCTTGGTGTTCTACCAGCTAGAGATAACCCGTTGGCCCCCCAAGCCAGCATTGGCAGGACCTTGGTTGATGTTGTTGGTTGCTATGCAGCTACAATATTGGCCATTAGACTGTGACCGCGCAGGGCGCGGGGGCGCAGCCAGGGGGTATAGGAGATTGTAGCCTTGGGGGTCACCATCAGGTCCCTGTGGAACCACCAATTCCATTACGTTAGGTCCGGGCCTAGGACCTGGGGGCCGAACCAGGCCCTTGGGACTGCCAGTAGGTCCTTGGCAAAAGGTCCCTGGGACTCCAGGTAGGTCCTTGGCCATCAGATCCCTGGGACTACCGGTCCCCTTTGGCTGCACACTGGGACTTCCAGTGGGTCCTTGGCCCCGCAGCTAGGTGGCACCATGATGATACTGATGCCCAGGGCTCGGGCCGCTTGAGGCTAGAGACAGCTTGAGGCCCGGGACTTGGGGGGGCTTGGGCACCTTAGGCAACCGGACTAGTTGCAGACACAGGCCCACAGCGGCAGGCCGTGGAACAAACTTGGTGAAGGAGACGTGGGACCAACCTGGTACTGCACAGTGTAAATAATCTCGTATTGAGCGGTGGGACGGTGGGATCAACCTGGCACTTCGCGACGGCACAGTGGGACTACGCCCACTGGGCCATGGATGGCGATTGGCCTACCGGTAGTCTGTTTACTGCATATTCTGGAGACTCAGTGGAGGGGCTCTAGGCAAAGGCACAAAAGGGGAGTGGGATTCAGTAGGTAGGGGGTTCATTCTACGCCCCTGGACTGGACTTGAAAAGCTTTAAAAAAAAAAAAAAACCGACCCTGGACTGGACTTGAAAAAGCTAAAAAACTGCCCCGGGTAGTCTACTAGTATGTAGGAAGATTGTTGGATGGATAGTTAGGACTACATTGGTCAAGGATGATGAGTTAGTTGGTCATCCCAATTCCTTAGAACTGTGTTTTTATAAGGTTATGTCAGAGTGGAAGTTAAGTTTTGGGAATGGTACAGAAAGAGTATTTGACTTAGCTGTTTAGATTATTTCCGATAAGCTAAACCGGCTGATGCTGCCGGGATAACTCCGGGTTGAATTGTGCGGTCCCTAGCCTCCTACATGGTTTGATTGCTAATAAGATTGTCAGTTGTTGTTGAAAAAAAAAAAAAAAAAAAAAAAAAAAAAAAAAAAACAAGACCCAAGTTCGATTCCGTCCGGTCCTTGGCTAAGACCGGTCGCCTCACAACCTCAACCCAGCTTTAAATTGTTGGTCGACCGAAAAAGAGAGAGGGAAAAAAAAAACCGCCAGACTTGACTCGTCCACGACCAAATCGAATGACCCGCTTGCCTAAGAGCGGTCACTGTCGAATCTGGACAGGACAGCCTTTCAGGCCTTTTTTATTGTCATTATAGTATTATTACGGGGAACCCCATAGCAGCCACATCCGTGCACAAGCCTCCAACGAGGGAACATGCAGGAGCTGCACCCACCAGCAGGTGCGATACCTGCGACAGCAGGTGGGCAATACCGACCAGGGGTCAGCCCATAGCATCAGGACCGAGCTGCTTCAATGGGCCAGTCACTGTGCCTCCCCTCCGGTCCCCTCCCCCTATGAACATCAGCAGTCTCTTCTCCACTCAATGCCACTCGGGGGGACCAACGGTGGCGGGCGCCAAGCTTGCCCAGGAAGGTACATGAGGCCAATGGGGATTGAACCCAAGACCTCCTGAATGCCACTTGCGTGCCTTAGCCAGGGCAGTTTCATAGGAGAAGGAACAAAGAGAAAAAAAAAAAAGAATAAAACTCGGAAGTAGTCTCTATAACCACCAGATAAATTCTATGAGGTATTCGTGTGACTGTGCCCTGAGGGAGGGCGTTTATGGACGAACAACCCAAAAAAAAAACAAACCCGCCCCCCCCCCCAAAAAAAAAATCTCCCTTATTCTGTGACTGAGGGCGGGTACAGGAGAAGATCAACCCTCCACCCAAAAAGGAAACCCGGTCGCCGACAGCAACAAAGCCCAACGACCGAATGAAACGACCACTGGACGTACACTACCCAAAGCCTAGCACGCCACTCGCACTACCGGTCCGTCTCCTAGCCGCGACCGCACCCTTTGCACTTTTCCCTAAAACCCGAAAAGACCCCGCCAAACCTCATTTGACGTCCACGACATTTCCCAAAAAAGCAACTACAGAAAATGACAAAAGAACACGCATGGTAAGCGCAGCGAACACCGCCATGTGGGGTTTAGGGGGGGGGGGGTAGGGGGAGGTGCAGTGACTGGCCATTGCTCGGCACCTATTTCCCCCATCGGCAATGCCTGCCCACCCCTCGTCACCGTGATGAGGGACTGGTACAGCCTTGCTCTCGCACCACTGCTGTGGTGCCAACCTACCCTGTGGGCTGGGGAGAGATCCGGGTTGGTTGGTGTTCCCCCCTACTACATATACACTAGTGAGAGGATGAGATAGATGAGTACTAGCAAAGAAAAATGAGATAGATGAGAGAAAAATATAGCTTTTCAAAAAAAAATATTTTTGATTAAAAAAAAAAAAAAAAAGTGTGTGAAACCCTGCCACTTCCGTTGTTAATGCTTTCTCCCACGATTCTACAATTCTCTGACATGCCCTTGCCAATTTTTCTACCTATCCTTTATCCAAAACAGAAGCAACGCGAAAGGAGATAATTTGACAGAGTCTAGAGATGTTTGTGCGCCTTTTGACCTGTAGATCCCAAACACATCTGGTACCTGATTAAGGGCATGGCTACACCACTCTCCAAATGTGCAAAATGAGAATGAACTTCCCGCTAGAACATGACCAGATCCACGCGCCACAATTTTGTCTTTTTCACATTTCGAGAGTGGTGTGGCGAGGCGCTATGCATTGGAATCCTAACAGCTAAGCCTCTGCAGTAGGCAACAGCAAGATAAGCACACAGGAATCAAGGCCGTGGAGGTGCATCCAGAAAGGGCAACTTGACATGCAAAAAGCAGAAATCAATCAAATCATGTGATTAGCAGGTCGGTCCCAAGTCAGCTTGATGATCCATAAGAGTGTGACAACAGCTTTCAGACAAATGATGATGGAGAGCGTGCAAGGTGGAATTGGCTGGTTGTATTGGATGGTTGAAGCAGAGAAAAAAATCTTCCTCTCGATTGCAGGTGATGTGAACACGAGAGAAAGCATTCAATAAGTGAATGACATGAATGATAGGTCGAGAACAGTTTTCAGATAAATGATGGAGCCCGAAAGATGGCGTGAGATGGTTGAAGCAGGCAACAAATCCAGCTCTTGAGCAGGCGACAATCCTCCTCTGGATTGCAGGTCATGTGACCATGATGAAAGCATTCCATAACTGAATGCGATGCATGAGACGTTGAGAACCAAAAATGCATGCTACGTCAATGCGAAAGACAGTTGTAGAGGCACACACACACACACACACACACACACACACACACACACATTGGTGCAGGCTCGCACTCTGTATCCTTCTCTTTGTCTCGGTCACCATGTGTGTGCTCTGTCCCAGATAACCTCCACCCACAGAGTACACAGTATGCGGGGATCAGCATCCTCATGATGGCATGATGCCCAGCAACGGATGAGGTTCAAGATTCAAGGTCTGTCTACCCCAAAACAACGACCAAGAATGTGGATGGTTAGCAGAGAGAGGAGCCAAATGCACATTCACAAAACAATTGACCAGACTGGAGCTAGCAGTACTGTGCAGACCAAAGCGTATAGAGAGACCGTGGCGTGATAGCAATGCTGTCACGGGACAACACCGTGAGACGATGAAGAGTGAGGAGAAGAGAAGAGCCCAAGAGTATAGATAGATAGATAGATAGATAGATAGGTAGATAGATAGATAGATAGACAGAGAGACAGAGAGAGAGATTTGGGGGGGAAGGCGGGCTTAAGGGCGTGGAATCGCACAATGTGGCTCACGTGGCGTGGCTTTCTTTCGTTCTTCTTTTTTCCCCTTTTGTGTGTGTGTGTGTGTGTTGTCATATTCGCTATACACTCAAAAAAAGCAAGACTGTGCCAGACTGTTTCGTCGGACTTTCACCGACTCATCAGGAGGGGTGTGTGTGTGTGTGTGTGTGTGTGTGTGTGTGTGTGTGTGTGTGTGTGA